AAACCCCAAAGCCCCCCCAAAATGCTTGTAGTTAAAAAGCTTTTTTTTTTTAACCCAATTGGTTGTGGTGATACATGTCTATAAATCCACCACTGTGGAGATCCAAAAGGTGGTTGCACATGCCTTTAATTCCAGCACTCAGGAGACAGAGGCAGGCAGATCCCTCTGAGTTCCAGGGCAGCTTGATCTACATTTTTAGTTCCAGGTCAGCCAGGGCTACATTGTGAGACTGTGTAGACCTCAGTTTGAGTCCAAGAACACATGTGAAGTTCACCCACAAAAGCTGTCCTCTGACTTCCACACGTGTATCCTGGCACATGTGTCCACATGTGCATCATGCACATACACAATAATAACATTTACAAAAGGGGGCAGTTTGAGGATGTACTCCGTTTGGCAGAGTGCTTGCCTGATGTGTACAAGGCCCTGGTTCCATTCCCAGCACCCCATAAATGGGCTGTTGTGATGCACACTCACAACCTTAGCACTCAGAGGGCAAACTATCTTCTAAAATATTTAATTCAAATTATCTGACCCTTCAAACACTATTTCTGAGGATATGGGTGAGATATGTCTCAAAGTCCAAAATAAAAACAAAACAAGATCACCTCGCCCCCCCTTTTTTTTAAAAAAAAACATTTATTTCATTTATTATTATGGTGTGTGTTATGGGTGCTTATGTGCCATGGCTCACTTGTGGAGGTCAGAGGAAAACTTTGTGGAGTCGGCTCTTTCCTTCCATCCCTAGGAGGAATTGAGGGGATTAAACTCAGGTCGCCAGGCTTTCACAGCAATATGCCTTTATTACTGAGTGGGCTCAGCTGAATTCTGGCCTCATTCTGTAGTCCAGGGCTGGCCTTGAGTTGCTAGAGATCTGCCTGCCTCCAGCTCTTGTGAGTGCTGGTATTTCAGGCATGAGTCAAATCCCTCCACCCAACTGTTTTTCCCTTTGAGGGACATCCATGTATGTGGGACTCACACACACTCAGAACATACTCATTTGACCCAGTTTTCAAAGGTTATTTCTTGGGGAGGAAATAACCTGCCCAAGAAGGGTCTAGACTGAGATAGGCAAAATGAATGAATTTCAGTTTTCCTTTTATCTTCCCCCATCCTGTGGGAATTTATCTGTGCCTCACTCTCACTCCGGATCCAGAGGTGTGTCCTCCTCCAGGGAATGACTTTTAATTCCAGGCTGGGACTCTGCTTTTGCCTCCCTCCCATATGACTGTGGCTTTTGCACAGCGTGCTTTTTTATTTTTTTTGGGACTGGGTCTACCTATGTTGTTCTGGCTCACCTGGATCTTCATATGTAGCTGGCCTCAAATTTGTAAAGATCCTCCTGCTTCTTCCTCCCAAGCTCTGGAAGTAATCACAGGCATAAGACTTCATGCCTGGCTGGCATACAGCCTGCTTTTATATGCTGGTTGTGGGCATTTGTGGGGACCAGGTGTTGCTGTGTGATAATGTTGCTTAAAGGAAATTTAGGATTGAAAAAAAAATTCTCCCCAGGCCTGGGTGATACAGATCTGTTGGTAGACTGCCAGCACACAGGAAACTTTGGGTTTGAGCCACAGAACTGGATTACACCCCCCTAGGTGTTGCTCACCAGTAATAGCAGTACCTGGGAGAGGGAGGCAAATGGGTCAGATTCTAGGTCATGTAGTAATTTTTTATTTTATTTTTTTGGTGTTTTTGAGACAGGGTCTCCCTGTAGTCCCAGCTGGCCTGGAACTTGCTATGTAGATCAGGTTGGCCTCGAACTCACAGAGATCTGCCTGCCTCTGCCTCCCAAGTGCTGGGATTAAAGGCGTGCACCACCACGCCTGGCCTAGTGGGGTTTTTTATTTTATTTTATTTATTTTTTCATAGTCTAGGCTAGCCTCCAACTCTCGATCTTCCAGGCTCTACTGGGTTCTGGGATTACAAACGAGCCTTTGGAATCACAAACACCGGCCTTTGAGCCAAGTCTTGATAGAGAGGTCCAGTCGGTCCTGGAGCCCCTCACCCGGGCTACGCCAGCATCCCTGCGCTTGCAGCCGAGGACGGACCGGTGGGGGCCGCACGTGTCTCGGGAGCGTGCACCGGCAGGTGCTCGCGGTGCAGGGGCAGGGCGCACACGCAGCACGCCCCTCGGCCCGCTGTCCAGCTGGGGCCTGCCTTCCCCTGGACAGGCCGAGGAGCCGTAGACGGAGACCCCACTCTTCAGGACCCGTCGGCTTGGAACTGTGCAGTAGAAACACCGAAAGCGCTCAGCAAACCTGGGCTTATGCTCTACTTTTCCCACTCTTCTTCCTGGGAACCCCAAGGGTTTGCAAACAAGTACCCACTCAACTCCGGGCCCCTGGAGGAGGGCTGCGCAAACGCGGAGAACTACCCGCCCCTCCGCCCGCCCGCAAGCACTCGGCCAAGTCACGTGACCCAGCGGGGGGGAACGAGGGGGGGACAAGCAGTGCGCATGAGCAGTCGTCTCCTCCTAGATAGATACACATTATTTATTTATTTTTTCTCCTCATTGTGGGTCGCGACTACTGTCAACTCCTCCCTCCTCCCAGTCGTCCACTTCTTTCCTGACATTTACTCCTTTTCACCCCGCCCACTGATGACAGGCAGACAGGCCGGCGAGCGAGCCAATCATAGCGCGGCGTTCAGGGGCCGGCACGAGGAACCCGGTGGGCTCCGACCAATCGGGAGGCTGACAGCGGGCGCGGCCCAACCGCCTTGCGGGGGGGGGGCCCCCCGCCGGCAGACGTGGGTGGTGCTTTCCAGTCAGCATGTGGGCGTGGGAGGGCGGGGCCCGGCCGCCGCAGAGGCGTCGACGGCAGTGGCGTCGACGTCGTTCCTCAGTCTTCGGGGTGGGTTCGGCAACGCTGGCTGGGCTGAGCGGAGCGCCGGGTGGGGAGCAGCGGCCGAAGGGAGGCCGCGGCGCCATGGGTGGGCTGTAGAGAGGGGCTCGGGCTTGGTGCAGGCTAGGCGGAGGCGCGGCGGCTCGCAGCGGGGATCGAGGGTGGGCAGAGGCCCCCGGGCGGTGCGGGGAGGGTCGCCGGCCGCCGCAGGCGTGCAGGAGAGGTCTGGGCCGGCCGCCGGGTTCCCCGTCCCCGGGCCTGTCGACGACGACGCTCCCGCGGGGGTTCCGTCTGAGGAGGACGCGGCGGCGGCGGCGAGGCCGCGGGAGGCCGCGGAGGATGGAAGAGCGGAAGGAGGAGGGCGAGGCGGAGATCCAGGAGCACGGGCCTGAACACTGGTTCTCCAAGTGGGAGCGGCAGTGCCTGGCCGAGGCGGAGCAGGACGAGCAGCTGTCCCCCGAGCTGCAGGAGGAGGCGGCGGCCGCCGCGCAGCCCGAGCACAAGCAGCAGAAGCTGTGGCACCTCTTCCAGAACTCGGCCACCGCCGTGGCCCAGCTCTACAAAGGTGAGGCCGAGCCGCCATCTTGGCGCCGCCCCGACCCGGGAGCGTCCACTCTGCCGGGCTCCCGGCTGGCTTCCGCAGAGCCCGCGGGTATTCCGCACTCCTGCGGGGACCAGCGGGGCGACGGTGGCCCAGGGGCGGGGACGGTGGCGCCGCGGACCCCGGCCATCCGAGCTGCCCGGCGGCGGCCTCGGAGCGGCCCGGACGGGGGAGGGCGGTGGAGCTTGGGCGGTCTTCCACCGCGAAGCCACTCTCGGGGGTCCCCACACCCCGAGCTGAGTGTCCCAGGCCGCCGCGCGGAGACAGGGGAGGAGTCCCCGTCACAAAATGGCGAAGGAGGCGGCAGGGAGGCCCTATTGTGCCCGGAGCCGGCCTCGGGGCGGGGACTGCCGGGGGTGCCTCCCCGAGTCGGCCGGACCGCAACCGCTGTCTGGTGCCCCTTCCTCGACCCCTCCACTCCGGTTCTCCGGCTCCCTTTGGGCTCCCCAAACCCTTGAACAAAATGGCGAAACCTAATATGGCCGTTCCGGAGTGATTGACGCCCAAATAACATTCTCTTTCTCTGTGTCCTCTTGTGTGTTTGTGTCTTTTTTTTTTTTCCTGTTTTTTTTATTTTTATTTTACTTCTTTCCTCCAGACCGAGTGTGTCAGCAGCCAGGACTTTCTCTCTGGGTCCCCTTCCAGAACGCAGCCACCGCCGTCACCAACCTCTACAAAGGTAAAGATAACCTTGCTGCACGGCCGGGTTAAGGGGGAAGGGAGGAAGGACAGACTGCGTTCGTGTGGACGACCGACGAGTTCGCTGCTTTCCAGCCCAGCCGCTCCTCACCTTGAATGCCTTGCAACTTGAGAATCTCGATGGTGTTCTAGCTAAATCATCCAGAGGTGGTTTTGACACTCCTCCGTCTCCTTCCTCGGGGACATATGGCAGTGTCCGGGGGACACTTGGTTGTCATCGTTGAGAAGGGACTGTTGCTGACGCGTGCTGTGTGGAGGCTCTTGGTTATCCAGTAGGGCTTGAGACTGCTCCCAGAAGCCGGGCAGTGGAAGACCTGTGATGTGACCCCTGCTTCGATTTGGAAAAGGCTTCAAGGGGTGTGAGGACCCTCCTGAGTCTGACCACTTGCAGCATGGTAGTGATAGCATTGCAGTGCTTTTAACACTTGCTGATTGGAACTGTGCATGCTGCCCTTAAACAGGTTCATCAGATTGTTCACTACTTTGTAGCTGATTGTTAAGTTAGTGGCATCTGTAAGAATCTTGAGGATAGCTTTGTGTTTGATGGTGGTCTCTTTCAGGAGTTAGTTGATTTTTCTATCCTCATGACTGAAGGTTGTAAATACATGGGTTTGCACATTGTACTCTTGCTAACAATAGGTTTGACTTTGTGCCTTTGAGGTCTGGAAGATTTGGAAATTGTCCTGTGATAAGGATTTGGATTTGATAGTAAAAATGTTAAGCCAGGTTCTTTTCCCCTTTAAAACACCCAGTACACAGTAATGGGATTTTGTGCTATTCAGAAATATCAAAATAGGTTGAAACATACTGTGGCATATTTTTTGATTGTCGATGTCAGCATTCCGTAGGAGTTGTTTAGCAGACTTGGCAGTTTGGGGTGGGGGGAACAACAGTAATTTTGAGAACTGTTAACTGAAACTGGTCATTGGGAATGTTAATTTAGGGAACTAGGAACTCCTCATAGTCCATTGAAGAAAGGGAACCAGCATATTTATTGATTTTTGCTGTTGTGGACAGAGTCTCAACTGCCTAGACTGGCCTCATATTCCTGATTCTCTTGCCTCAGGATCGCCAGTGCTGGGATAACAGGTGTGTACCATCATACCCTGCTAGAAACATAATTTAAATGATTACTCAGTGGTCAGCCTTTTTTTTTTTTTTTTTTTTTTTCTTCTCCCCTCTGCCTTTTTGAGACAAGGTCTTTCAGTAGCCCCATTTGGCCTGGAACTATGTAGACCAGGTTTACCTAGAACTCACAGAGATCCACCTGTTTCTGCTGGTGGCTTGTGCCACCACGCCCAGCCAACTTTGATTTTATGTAGCTGAATTTTTAAATTTTGGGGCTGGGTGTTGAGGGTGGAACCAGGGGGGTCTCATACATACTAGGTGCTTGCATGGCTGTTGAAACCCATCTCTAGCCCAAGGTTTTTTTTTTTTTTTTTTTTTTTTTTTGGTCTTTTTGTAGCCCCAGCTGGCCTGGAACTCACTATGTAGTGAATAAATTGCTTTTTAGCATCTGTCGGTGCTTGAGGGCCTTGAGCATTCTCTTTGTAATGACTCTTGATTTTATCTATAAAGAGAATTTTTACATAATACTCAAACTCAATTTTGAGCAATTTCAAGTTTCTTGTAACATATAATTTGCATAAAGTAAAAGCAACCTTTTAAAATGTGCAGTTTTATTTTTACCACATACTACTCTAGTCCCTGGCAACCCTGAATGCTGTATGTAGCTGTCCCTGTATCCATCTTTGATATAGTGTGCTTTTGAGATAGCTCCATTGAGTTCATAATTGCAGGTTCTAATAGCTTAGTACCGTTTATTTACTATTATTATTTTGAGATCGTCTGTATAGCCGGGTAACTCAGCTATGTAGACCAGGCAGGTCTCAACAGAGATTGGCCTGCATCTCATGGCATTAAAGGTGCCAAGGCTCAGTGCTTCTTAATTGTAGGGTAATCTGTTATACAGAGGTATGGTGGCTTATCTTTTTGCTTCTGCAGTTTTTGTTTAGAAGGGAAGACAGCAAATTCTGAGTATCTAGTGCCTACCTAGCCAGCCTAAGCTGGATACAGACGTGAGTAGAGTTTGGTTTTGGTGCCGTCCTGTATTGATAGGATGAGGCCTGCTAGGACTAAAGCTAATAGTTTTTTTTTTTTTTTTTTTTTTGGTCTTTTTGAGACAGGGTCTTCCTGGAACTCACTTATGTAGACCAGGCTGGCATTGAACTCACAGAGATCCATCTGCCTCTGCCTCCTGAGTGCTGGGATTAGAGCTCTGCATGCACCACCACACCCAGCCTGAAAAAATTATTTAAGAAAATATTTTATTCATTTCAATTTTTGTGTGTATGGTCAGCCTGTGGGTATGTGTGCACGTGCCCCGGGAAGCTAGAGGCATTGAATTTCCCTTGAGCAGGAGTTGTAGGTGGTCATGAAGTAACTACCTGATGTGGGTGCTTGGAACTCTGCAAGAGCAGTCAATACATGTCTTTTTAACTATCTTTCCAGCCGTCTAAAAAAATTCTTTAATTTGATTACTTCATTTGAAAATACTGCCTATGCTGGGCATGGTAGCAAATGCCCGGAGTCCCAGTACTTGGGAGACAGATGGGAGGATTGCCTTGAGTTCAAGGTCAGCCTGGGCTATTAAATAGTGAAACTCTCAAATCAGAAAAAACCAAAAGCAGATACTGTTTTTTTTTTTTTGGAGGCACCTACACCACCACATTAGTTGACTTACTAAATTTTCTTTGTTTATAAAACTTAATGAGGGACATTAGTTAAAACAAATTGAGGGGGTGTGTTTTAATGTGTCTTGAGACAAGTCTTAGACCAGGCTGGCCTTGAACTCACAAGAGATCTGCTTGGTTTGGCCTCCTTAGCACTGGGACTAAAGTTGTGTGTCAGGTCACCATGCCTGGCTAATTTTGTTTAAATATGACATTTTGTTTCTGCATTGTCAGTGTGAGTTGGTTTTATTAAGTATCCTATTTCTGTAAAATGAAACATACCTTTAAAAAATTTATTTATGTTTTGTCTGTATGTATGTAAGTACATCATGTGCAGGCAGTGCCTGTGGAGTCCAGAAGAGGGTGTTAGATCCTCTGGAATTGGAGTTAGAGATGATTGTGAGTTGCCATGTGGGTGCTGGGAAAGAAACCTGGTTCTTCACAAGAGAAGCAGGTACTTTTAACTGCTGAGCCATCTCTCCAGACCCAAAATAATAACCTTTAAGTTACCTTATAGGAAGGGATACATTTTTGTGTGGAGTTTGGTAGCTTAGCAATATCTTATTTTTTTGAGACAAGGTTTCCCTCTAGCCCTATTATGTAGGTCAGGCTGGCCTCCATCTCAAAGATCTTCCTGCCCCTGCCTCCTAAGTACTGGAATTAAAAGCATGGGCCACCACACCTGGCTGTACCATCTTTCTTTTGAGACTACTTGTTGCTAGAGTGGATAATAATCTACTCTCACACCCTCTTTTTCAGGGTGTGGCCTTTATAGAAGAGGCATACAACTATAGAAGTATTTGGCTACTTTAAATAGAACCAACCAAATTTAGCAAAGTAGAGTCGCAAGTGCATTCAGCATTAAGTAATAGTAAATTTAAATCACATTTTTCACAGTTATGATGAAATACTTCAGTGTAACTTACAGGGCAAAGACTTTGGAGGGATCCTCAAGTGGGCAGTACTCACATGTATTTTATGTAACCAAGCACTTGATAAGCTAAAAATGGCTCATTTTGCAGCCTGGGAAGAGTGGTGCTCCTTGATAACTCCTGAAGTGAGCATGTGGGAAGTTTCAAATTGCTGGAGAACTCGGGCTTTTGGGGAGCGTGCATGCTTATTTGTTTGCCTATTTATTTATGACAGCACCTACCTCTGTAGCTCAAGCTGGCCTCAAGGTGCCTCTGGCTCCCTAGTGTTGGAGTTATATGCAGATCATGCCTAGCCTGGGTTCTCCCTTTTTTTAAAAAAAAAAAAATTATTGTTTTTATTTTATGTATATACTCATATTGTATTGTGTATTGCCTGCATGTATGTGAGTGCACCTGTGTCATGCAATGCCTTGGAGGTCAGAAGAAGGTCAGAAGAGAGCTTTGGATCCCCCTGGAACTGGAGTTAACCGTGGTTCATAGCTGCCATGTGCGTGCTGGGAATTGAACCTGGGTCCTCTGCTCTTAACCACTGAGCCATCTCTCCAGCCCTGGTTCTTCTTCTTAAAGGAATGCGCATTTCAAAAGTTAAAACCAGGGGCCAGATCCGAGAGAGAGAGAGAGAGAGAGAGAGAGAGAGAGAGAGAGAATGAGTGCACAACTTCTGGGAGTTCATGCTTGCTTTTCACCATGGATTGTACTCAAGTAGTCAGAGCCATCTTGATGGCCCCTCAGAGTCCTCTTTTAATTGCCAGTGGCTTTTTGAAAAAATTGAACTTGCAGTTGTGGTTTAGTTGGAATGTGACTGGAAGGGTTTGGAAGAGAATGTAAATTGGCATTTTCTTAAGGGATGAAGGTCAGTAAAATGGAGTGCTTGATCAGGGCCTGTGGTACGTAAGTCCCTGTAAATCCTAGCTGAGCAAGAAAGGTAGCAAGTTTGAGGCCTGCCAGCACTACATAGTGATCCTGTTTCAAAGAGAGCTAGGGATATAGTTCTTTGGTAGAACTTAGAATGAAATCTGTGAAACTTTTTTGGGAGGGTGGTGATAGGGGGCAAGAAAACCCTAGTTGCTGGTTCTTGATTTAATCTTTACAAAGCAGTGGTGTTCATTGGGCTCTTGGCATTGTATGGATTTGTGATAGCTGCAGTTAAAGGGAGTGAAGAGTTCCTGAGGTGGTTTTATTCTAGCTAAGGATGATGGGTACCTTGGAAATACATTGCTAAACCTGTATTTATTTTTTGGTGGGGAGTCCTCTGGATGGAATCTTAAAGTGCTCTACCATAGAGCCACACTACCAGCTATGTTTGCTTATTCACC